TTCAAATAAAGCTCCCTACAGAAAGACATACGTAGTTAGCGCTTTTCTTGATTAATAAAGAAAGGGTATAAAACGAAAATTGCAAATATACCGCGAATGTTTCTTTTATAAAAATCGAAATTTATTTTCAAAGAGAAATAGCGACATTTCTAACTTTAAGGATGAAGTATGGAAAGGTGAAACATGAAGAGTAATGGCGAACGGAAAAATAAAAAGTTTCCAGGGGCGGGAATCGAACCCACACTTTTTATTTTTCCGTTCGCCATTACTCTTCATGTTTCACCTTTCCATACTTCATCCTTAAAGTTAGAAATGTCGCTATTTCTCTTTGAAAATAAATTTCGATTTTTATAAAAGAAACATTCGCGGTATATTTGCAATTTTCGTTTTACAATCATCAGCCGCGTTATATTGTATTTTAAAGAAAGGGTATATTTGACCATAGAAAATTTTCTAACCGACTTCGATAACACTATTCCTATTTTTGTAAAGGAATCTGTTTATAAATGATGAACTTTTTTATAATATTTACAGATCCAGGTTCGCCCTTTTATATAAACTTCTACAATCGATATATCGACGATATTTAAAAGAATATCTCATTTTGAAATTTTTTTACTCGAAGAATAACCCGGCTTCGTCCATGAACCTCCCAAGTGTGGAAATGCTTTCTCTTACAATATTCAAATTAATCAAAATATATTCAGTTTATATATTATTTTTATGAGTAGTCTCTCAAATAGTAGTGTTTACTCAATGTATCATTAATATGATAAAAACATAAGGTTACATAGTTTAGTATATAATATTCTAAAGTATTTATTTCTGTGACCCCATTTCGACATTAATTCAAATAATTTCATACTTTGTGAATACAACCTTAATAACAAACAAACACCATCATTTGATAATTAACGACTATTCAAATTGTGGAATTTCGTTTGGCAGTTATTATTATCGTCTGCTTTTCGCGCATGCGCAAACTTTTTTTTTTTTCTTTTGGAGCGAATTTTTAGCAGATCTTTTTTTTAGGCCTATCTATTTATACATTCTTAGTAAATAAGAAATGTTAGAATTGTTTAAGATTAAATCTATCTGGAAACGCATTATTTTTCAAAAGAGAATTATAAAGAACACATCAAAAAATATCAAAACATGTAAATTAAAAAGGAATTAACTCTAATCGTTATAAATCCTTTATTTATGAATCTTCTCTAAACCCTTTCTTTTACCCACATCATTTACCACAATCCATGGAGAGGAATGTCTTTTTGTTTCTTATACTTCTTTTATTAAAATGTTGAAAAATCTATACAAAATATTTTCTCCATTCTTTAATCATTATTTACCATTTTTTCATTTTAATATTAATCTTTAGTTTGTAAATTATCAATAAAGTTCTCATATTTAAGAAAAGAAAAAAAAAAGGCATTTCCTTGTCGTGCAACTGAAATTTGCTGATGGCTTGCGCAATCTATCAGAATAAATATCAACTATTCGTTGATTAGGCGCTGATTGGCACAAGCCATCAGCAACTTTCAGTTGAACGATAAAGAGATTCCTTTTTTTTTTTCTTAATTTATGAACCTTATCTCAATACAATGTCACATTTGTACTATTTTTTTCTAATATTTAAACTAGTAAAGAGTAAAATTTGTGTTTCTTATTCACATTTTGGGGGGGGATTTTAAGAATATTAATATATTATGTATCAAGAGGGTTAAACGGTTATATTCAATTGTTTACATTTTTACATATTCTGCTCAAAATAATTTGAATATTGTATTGAATTCATAATTTATATATAGCATTTCTATAAAACCTTTTTCATAATATCAATAGAGAAAGAGTCTTAGAAATTAAAAACAAACTTTATTAACCTCTAGTCAACCATGATACAAAAAAGTTCCAATAAAATTACAGCTATAAACAATATAATTTATTTTACACATGTAAATTTACTGGCAAAGCGTTTCTTTTAAATATCATCAAATATTATCTCTACAGACTTTACTGCAATGATATAAGTTATTGAATGAGAGGGCTTGGCTCATCAGTAGTGAACCCTCTGTTCACTACTGATGAGCCAAGCCCTCTCATTCATTAACTCATATCATTGCAGTAAGGTCTGTAGAGATAATATTTGATGATATTTAAAAGAAACGCTTTGCCAGTAAATTTACATGTGTAAAATTTTAACGATAGATGGCAATTAAATTTAATTTACTAATATAATTTATACAAATATATATTTACATCAACACGAAGCCTTCTCCAAAGGGACGTCAAGTTTAAATCAAGGGTTACAAGCCACCCTGAATTTGGATAGACCTTTGGTTATAATGGAGTTTTTGTTCCCAAAATGTTCAATTGTCATGTTGAGGAATTCGAAGAGAATGGTTTTGTGTCGAGAGTGTCTTAGAGAGTACCTCCCTCACATGGCGGTATAGGACCACTACTTCAAACCTACTAATCTCCTTATAGAGAGAGAGAATTTGTAGAAAATATATTTGACTGGAATATCAAAACTTAGATTAGCAATGTATATCTTTAGTAAAATCTAAAAAAGAGCGAATTTTCGATATGATAAAGGGCTATTTGGCTGGCCTTTTTAAATGCTAAAATGAGAAAAATATAAAAGGCAGATTCAATTAACAATTTTATAAGAGCTCTATTTACATATATATACAATTAGAAGCCATACTATCCATATATAAATATATAACATTCTCAGTAAGCTTCTTGGAACAAATTTACGGTCGCTGAGGTACAGCCTGAACTAAGCTGACCGGGGCCAACAGTCCGAAACGCGTATTTTGTTGGCTATTCTTGATTTATCGGTTAAATCCAAGGCTCGAAATCTTGAGTCAATTAAATTATATTTTTTGAAAGAAACTCTACTCTATGGATGAAGTTTTTAATTGAAATTATATCATATAAAAGGGATTTTAATATTTTTTGAATCAACGTAATTTCTAAATCATTTGTTATCATTATATGTCTGAAGTTGGTTGGTTAGTCATTGTTTGTATATTTTCACGAAGGTATGTGTGGCCATTGGACATGTGTCTGACCTCGAGGCTGTTGTTGGGTGTTGCGCTGCCTGGAGTATAGGAGCTCCATCTATGTTTCCTTCCTGTGGTGAATCTGTATAAGACCCTGGAGACTGTTGTTGGGTGCTGCGCTGCCTGGAAGTATAGGAGCTCCATCTATGTTTTCTTCCTTTGGTAAATCTGTATAAGACCGGTGGTCTTAATAAAGCTTTGTGTGTAAAACAACACTTGAAGTTACACCGCATGAGTTTATTTTCAATGAAAAATCAAAATTTATTTCAAGGTGAAATATTGACTATTTCTAACCTTTTTGGATGAAGTATGAAAGGGTGAATTATGAAGAGTAATGATGAACGGAAAAATAAAAGTGTCCAGGGATGGGAATCGAACCCACAATGTTCCGCTTGCCGGGCAGATGCCATGTCCACTAGGCTACCCTGGACGTATTACTCCGTTCATAAATGATACATAAAATAACTTATAATACAATATAATTCACTGCGGCTTGTGATTGTAAAACAACACTTGAAGTTACACCGCATAGCTTTATAAAGCTTTGTGTGTGTTTGTTTGTATATTTGGGATTCTAGGGGTTTAAAAACTTGTGTAATAGATGTGAATCTACTGTGTATGAATTAAATAAGACAACAGGTTTCTGGAGATGTGAGTTTATTTTCATTTTTATTGTAATCTCAAACTTTAGGCATTACAGCCTTTCTGCTGGAGTACAACAATGAAATTAAACGTGTAGTATCGCCAACCACTGGTCGCGGATGTTCCCCTACAATGCATCCTTTCTACTGACTCCACCTTTGCTGGTCCCAAACACGGATGAAAAAGGAGGAGGGGGAGCAGTAACAAGCTTACTAAAAAACCTGGGCTCAGCTGGCCCGGCTGATAGTACCGTGTAAGGTCTCCTAATCCAGGGATACAGGATGAGCAGTGTTTGTATTCCATGTTAGGAGTGGCTGTACATGACGTCTATTCCTCATGTCAGAGGCGGTCATTTATTTTGTAGCTAAGTCGGCCTGCCACTGAGTAGTGCTCCCAGTTTTAATTACAAAGGCAGACACATTCTACTTCACCCAATCATGATGGTTGTCAACTTTACAAGCTTGAGACCGTAATATGATTGAGTGGAGATAAGAAAAAAAAAGAAGATGAAACGCCGTTGTTCATTTTTGTACTCATGTAGATGGGCAGAGATGCCTGAAAGTTTAAGATGACAATAAAAATAAAATTAAACTCATCTAAAGAAACCTTTTTTTCCATATTTAATTGAAGACTTATACCTAAATAAAAATTAACATCGTAATGATAGAGGCTGCCTGGCCGACATGCATAGTTCTTCAAATTAACGATAGTACTTCGGCCAGTAAATATTTTTCATTATCTCGACGTTTCGACAAAAATCTTTTGTCCTCGTCAGGAGCAAACAACTGGCCGAAGATATTGTTTTGATATATAATTTGATAAAATCACTTTCTTGAAGTAATCAAAACTTATATAAGACGTTTAGTTTCTAAGATAAAAATTTACGTTAAAAAACCTCACTAATAGTTAATTAATTAGATATCGAGAGACCACCTTCAGCAGAAAGGGGAAAGAAAAGATGAAAAATTTTCAGAATATATTTTTACTTGAAATCAATTATCTCAGGAGATTGTTAGAGAGTTTGGGAACTATTGGAATATTTCTTTTTTATATAATAATTTGTTATTGATAGAGTAATATTAGTAGTTTTTATTTATTTCAACTTCTTTTAAAACTTCTCTTTAATTATTGAGCTTGTTTATATAAGAAAACTATAGGATTCTGTCAAATTAATCATTTCCCTTTAAGTAAATATGTAAGTGAAAATTATAAACTGCTAGCGGATGTACCCGGCTTCGCCCGGGTTTTACCCTAGTATAATATAAATGAGTTTTAAAAATTGTAAAAAAAAAATACCTTGGCCGGGAATCAAACCCGGGCCGCCCGCGTGGCAGTCGAGTATTCTACCACTGAACCACCGATGCTTATAAGAAATGGCCATATTTGGGTATTTATTCCATTCACAAAAGCAAACGATGACAGAATTGATTGTTGATGACTCTGATACTTGTATATTTATTATAGACACGTATCATTCTTTTAAAAATTAAACAATTTTCTACTGCCCTTACTGTAATGGAAAAATTAATGGGTGGGCCTTACTCATCAGTGGAGAACCTTCCCAGCGGTTTCGCCAGTTAAAACTGGGAGGGTTCACCACTGATGAGTCAGGCCCACCCATTAATTTTTCCATTACAGTAAGGACAGTATAAAATTGTTTAATTTTTAAAAATAATCATACGTGTCTATAATAATTTCGAATTTTCATAACAGATGGCGCGCTAATGCATCATCAATGTGTAAGTACACAAACATATATACGTATATATATTTTTTAATAAAAAGGCATATTTTGGATCAAAATATCACATATTTTACCAATATTTCAGTTGGCTGAACATCAACCTTTATCAAGGTATTATAACATTTTAAAGCTTTAAAATATTTTTTTAATGTTATAATACCTTGATAAAGGTTGGCGTTCAGCCAACTGAAATATTGGTAAAATAAATTATATTTTAATCCAATATATGCCTTTTTATTTAAAGATTTATTTATGGATTGCTCTATTTTCAAAACATATATATATGAAATAAAATAAACATACTATAGATGGAAATTTTGCCGGGAGGATATTAATCCAAAGAAACAAAGAACACCTCTCCCGTCAAAATAGACGTCAAAACTAGACGCCATCTGTTGACCGTCGCCGCAAATTAGCGGCCTCAGGTCGTTGACAAAGCCACAAAACTAACTTTGGCAAACTGAGAAGCGTCCACCTAGAGACCATGGTTTCGGGCTAATGGCCCTCTTCAGTCTAGAACGTACTTTATTCCATGAAATCCACAAAAGGGATCCAATGAAATCTTCAAAATCTGCCAAAGAGGGGTTTAGCTAGCAAAGTGTCTAGGTCAAATATATGGCCAGATTATAGATGGATGTTTTGCTGGAAAGAAAACTAGATATAGATTTCCTCAAGATTGCGCTTAGTTTTAGCGTCTATTTTGACGGGAGAGGAGCCAGTATTTTTTATAGATCAATTGTATGTTTAACTGGCAAAGTGTCTAGGTCAAATCTATAGCCAGATTATAGATGTAAATTTTGCTGGAAATAAATTCATCTAGATTGCCTCTAGATTGCGCTTAGTTTTAGCTTCTATTTTGACGGGAGAGGAGCCAGTATTTTTATATATCAAATCCTCCAGGCAAATTTCCATCTACATATCATAGTTACAAACTATAGTTCTCATAAATTCACGGGAGAGGTTTTGGTTTCATAATATATCATAAAAGGAGTTATGTAATCGTACAAATATGAGGTGATTAAGCTTGTGAAATGGTTGAACCCATCTTGTCAGGATACCCTTAATGTTTAGTGGAAGATGGTATATTTATATGCGGAAATATATATAGAGGGAGAGATAGAGAATAATATAATGTACAATAATGGAGTATGTTACGTAACTTAACAAAGAGGTAAACCAATTAAGAGATATATATGTAAATGATGTTGTTATGCAAATCAGTATTTAGAGATTATAGTTGTAATGGGATTTACGTAATAAACTGGGATAGATCGTCGTGGGCCGCTGGAAATGTAATCTAATGGCTTTTTTTGTGTGTGTGTGGAAAGATCGATGGGTCTGGGATGCTGTGTGGATAGGAATGTATATTCACACTCATAGACAAAACTTGATAAGGTGGAAAGTATTTGATATCGCCGGTCGTTTTTTTTTTTTTTTTTTTTTAAGAAAACAGAGGCAATTTTGTTCACACACTTGGGTATATCGTGTGTCTTCAATAAAGGTCACTTTAATATCTTTCATAGTTATTGTCTAAATCCCGATATACATGTTGAAAGATAAAACTTTCTTATGTTTTGTCCATGAGTGTATTTGGTTACCTTGTGTGTCTTCAATAAAGGTCACTGTAATTTCTTTCAGAGTTATTGTCTGAATCCCGATATACATGCTAAAAGGTACAGATTCCTTAAGTTTTGGCAGCGATAAAAAGCAGACGATGCATATAAGAATGATGATGATGATAAGTGTTCGGTGATTATTTTATTCAGTGAATATTTGAATCATCGATGCGTATTTCAAATATATTTTTGTTTACTAAAAAAAAACGAAAGATACGGGAAAAAAGCTTTTATGATAAATATGTCTTTTATAGATATTCTTTAAAATATTTGCTGATGGATTTTTTTTTAGAATGATACAAGAATTGTTTTTTTTTTTTTTTTGCTTTTAGTGTATATAGAAGCTATGTTACTTTGGAATGTGTTGTACATTACTATATTGAGCATTGTAATATATACATAATACGTGTATATTTGCATATAAGTTTATAAATATATGATTTTGTCAGACAATATATATATATGTTATGAATATTTTGTTTTGTTGTTGAAAAAAATAGAGAATTGAAGGTGCAGTCGTGAAAAAAAGGAAAGATAATTTTTACTTATCAAGTATTTTTTATTTTGAATTACTTGGAGCAAATTACACATAAAAATATTTTTCCAAGTAATATAGAATTTATAAAATGAATCCTATATTCGTGAATTAAAAAATAGGTAGGTTAACTATACATATTTACAACAATATTTAAAGTATTCTAAATCTATGGTCAAAAATAAAAGAATAGTCAATGATGAAAGTAAAATACATGTTTTCTAAAAAATAAAATATTTACATTTTAGATTATATAATATATATAGATAGAATCTATAAGAAAATTTAACTATTTTGATGCGTATCTTCATTCTTAAATAGAACCATTTTCTACTGTTATTACTGCAATGATTTAATAATTGAGCTCAATAAGGACACAGTAGAACATTATTCTATTTCAAAAAGAAAGATACACATCTAAAATAGTTTAGATTTTTTATAACAGATGACGCGCTAATTTATCATATTAATATAAAGAATTTATATATATTTATGAGAGATAAACCTCTCTATTAAGTACATTTTTATCTTTTTCAAATAAAACTCCCTACAGAAAGACATACGTAGTTAGTGTTGGGTGGATCTTAATAATCACTATCTATTAAAAAATAAATCTTCTTTATTGAAGGTACAAAAATAATTAATATAAATTTCTATAATAAAAATCTATAAACTCATATGCCTAAACCTCTTCACATACACTCTCTCACACATCTCTCTCAAAGAAAATACATGTTTATATATACACTCAACACCACAGAGAAAATTAAGTCACAGATTAATTCAATCATAGAATGAAAATTTATATTTTAAATAAATAACATCAACAGTTAGCGCTTTTCTTGATTAATAAAGAAAGGGTATATTTGACCATAGAAAATTTTCTAACCGACTTCGATAACTCTATTCCTATTTTTGAAAATGAATCTGTTTGTAAATGATATATATGAACTTTTTTATAATATTTACAGATTCAGGTTCGCCCTTTTATATAAACTTCTATAATCGATATATCGACGATATTTAAAAGAATATCTCATTTTGAATTTTTTTTACTCGAAGAATAACCCGGCTTCGTCCATGAACCTCCCAAGTGTGGAAATGCTTGCTCTTACAATATTCAAATTAATCAAAATATATTCAGTTTATATATTATTTTTATGAGTAGTCTCTCAAATAGTAGTGTTTACTCAATGTATTATTAATATGATAAAAACATAAGATTACATAGTTTAGTATATAATATTCTACAGTATTTATTTCTGTGACCCCATTTCGACATTAATTCAAATAATTTCATACATTGTGAATAAACCTTAATAACAAACAAACACCATCATTTGATAATTAACGACTATTCAAATTGTGGAGGTTCGTTTGGCAGTTATTATTATCGTCTGCTTTTCGCGCATGCGCAAACCTTTTTTTTTCTTTTGGAGCGAATTTTTAGCAGATCTCTTTTTTTTTTAGGCCTATCTCTTATATACGTTCTTAGTAAATAAGAAATGTTAGAGTTGTTTAAGATTAAATCTATCTGGAAACGCATTATTTTTTTTAGAGAAGAATTATAAAGAACACGATAAAAAATATCAAAACATGTAAATTAAAAAGGAATTAGCTCTAATCGTTATAAATCCTTTATTTATGAATCTTCTCTAAACCCTTTCTTTTACCCACATCATTTACCACAATCCATGGAGAGGAATGTCTTTTTGTTGCTTATACTTCTTTTATTAAAATGTTGAAAATCTATACAAAATATTTTCTCCATTCTTTAATCATTATTTACCATTTTTCATTCTAATATTTATCTTTAGTTTGTAAATTATAAATAAAGATCTCATATTTAAGAAAAGAAAGAAAAGGCATTTCTAAATGAGTTAAACAAAGCATCAAGGGCTGCGTATCTTTTATATGCCTCAATTGAGGCATTTCCTTGTCGTTCAACTAAAATTTGCTGATGGCTTGCGCAATCTATTAGAATAAATATCAATTATTCGTTGATTAGGCGCTGATTGGTGGAAGCCACTTGCAATTTTCAGTTGAACGATACGGAGATGCCCTTTTTTTCTTAATTTATGAACCTTATCCCAGTACAATGTCACATTTGTATTTTTTTTTCCTTCTCATATTTTAACTAGTAAAGAGTATAATTTGTGTTTCTTATTCATATTTTGGGGGGGAAATTTAGGAATATTAATATCTTATGTATCAAGAGGGTTAAACGGTTATATTCAATTGTTTACATTTTTGTTGGGAGAATCTTAATAAATTACTCTCTATTAAAACTTAAAACTTCTTTATTGAAGGCACATAAACAATGAATTTAAATTTCTATAATAAAACTAAATAACTCTTACACCTAAACGTCTCCTCATATACTATCTCCCACATCTCTCTCAAAGAAATACATATATTTATATACACACAACACCACAGAATAAATTAGATCACAGATTAATTAAATCA